TTGCTTTTCCACAATAAGTTTTTCATTAAAAACGGCCTCAAGCTCAATAAAAATTGTTGCATATTATTATTTAAGCCGTTCGTAACAGTCTCGTTAAATGTTGGTTAGTTAATAGGTACGTTCGTTTAAAATCTTCAGTAAAAAATGTCCAACAGCAAAATTCCGGCGAAATGTCATCTGTTCTCTCACAAGGGAAAAATATTCCGAGTAGTACGCGAACAGAAAACTTACAGCTGAAAGAAATTTTGCTTACATTTAAAGGTCTAAAACTGAAAGCGTAAGAAAACAAATCCCGAAGTCTTATCCTGACACAGTTCACTGACTAAACGAATAATTACTTACTTCTTACAAATTTAATTAGTAGCATTTGACTATTTTAACTTCCAAACCATTAAATTCAATGTAGGGATTTGCGTAAATTCCAAACAGCTGATTTAATCAGCGGTTTTCTTATTGGTAAATTGCTGTTGGCAAAAACTTTTCCAGTGGAAATTTTAACCATATATAAGCCATTCTTTTAAACAGTGGGTCAAAAAGGCCCGTTCTATTTCGAGTTGATGGGTTAAAATTTTGGAATAAAGTAGACCAACCTTGTTTTCAATATGTAATCTGCAAGAAAATGCAAATTTGCACACCGTGTTAATTAATTTAAATATCGATTTTTAACTTTTACTTTCCATATATGTGGCGTAGAACAAATTTGAAATTTGTGTGTGAATTCTAAACACTTAAGGCCAAATTCACAGTGCGTAGTTAACTCAGAATAGGCAGTTAACTACAGATATTCAGTACAGCACTGTGAATTTGGCTCTTAGGGCCATATATGTAATACTCCTATATTGGCAGGAAGAGCTAGTACCGTCCGAAAACACTACAGTACAGATATATCAATAAACACGTACGAAAGAAAAGGAACACTTACGTTTATAAATAAACATGTACACAACACATATACAAAAACGGCACTCAAGTACACAATACATTGACAAAAACGGTACTAGACTGTCTCTCTTTGATTTCGGAATGCTTACTCATTGAGAAGTTAGCTTACTGCCAATATAGAAGTATTACATATATGCTTAGGGCCGTTAATTTAACTATTTTGAAGTATAGTTAAATCATTAGTTAAACTTAACTACAAAAAATTCTATGGAATTTTCTTAGTGTTTAGACAGTTTACACAAAAAATTTTAAAAATTTGCTCTAAAAGTTTTTTGTTTAAATTAACGCATATTAAGAGAGATTACCAGTTTCCTCTCCTAATGTGTGCAAATTTAGACACCGTGTTAATAAAATTAAACACTGCCTGTTTACTTTTACATACCAAATTTGTCGCGTAGAGCAAAATTACATAAAATGTACTTAATTTTTATTTTTAGTAGGGAATGTATTTTTGCGTTAAAAACGTTTGCAATTTTAAACATTTCATGTGTATATTTTAAACATATATGTTCAGAAATCCAGTCTTGAACATCTTATGCGTATACTTACACAGATTTTGTTTGAAAATAAACACTTTTCAGTAGCAGGTTTACATGCAGTTTTTAAGAGTGTATAAGAAAATTTCGGAACGAACACTGAAGCAGCACTGCCGGACGGTCTGAACAACTCTATTTGGGACTGGGGCAACGATATTATATTTTTCACTGACACTGATAGGTACGGCACTGATATGTGTAAATAGATTTTTATTGTAAAAATCACCTATATAGTTGATGTGAGGTCGATAAATAAACACAGATCTAATTCCGATTGTAGGCATCGTTTCTATTCGCGCTGCCGCTACTATTCTCCGATTACAGGCCATTGCCCTTGCGCCTCTCGTTTGTCTTGACAATTTTCTTTCAGCTTTAGGCATTTTTAAACACTTCGCACTATTATGTTATTTTAAAGATTTTTTTATTTAGTAACGAAATTCCACTTTATATAAGCCAAAAAACTCAGCCTTTAACGCACTTGCTAATTTATCAACTTCACGAAAACAATGTGCCGAATTCCCATGAAGCCCAACAAATAGACATACATATGCATTGTTGTTTGTGCATGCCATTACAGCGTTGGAAAAATGGAATTCGGATAGACAGAGGCAGGATTCCCTTAAATTACTTTACCATATCAATTCTAATTTAAACATAGTTATGTACTGGACTGGTGCACAACACAAGTCGACTTACAGCGAGTTTCAAGCCATTTGGTCATTTAACATAGCAATAAAATGTTTGTTTTTCAACCACCATTGCTCAGCAAGAGCACAGAGGGAAATGAGCAATTCATGCCACTGCACTATGGTTTAAATGCCCATGTTCTGCGGCCAAAAGTCAATTTTTTTAGTTTCGAATTTTTGTGAAATTATATTTTCTCTGAATAGTGAATACACCCTGTATTGCGAATACATACTTTTTTTTTGCTCTCTGGCAACTCTAGTACAAGAGGTAACCAGCTGAAGTTAACCGTTATTTGAACGTCAATTTTGCGATTTTTATTGTGCGAAAATCAGTGAAGCTTAAAATTGTGCGAAAGGAAAAGTTTTAAAGATAAATCTGTTTTTTAAAATGGAAAATAATCGTGAAGGTGTGATAACAATGTGTATAAGTGCAAAAACAATACAAGCAATATATATTTAAAATTTCGCAGTAGTTATGTGCTAGTTAAAATTATGTGGGTTTAAAAATGTTGCTCGGGTTTGGTAAAGTAGAAGTTGTGGGGTCCGACTGGGTCCGATATGAAAATTATTGGAGAGAAAAGTGTGTTGTTTTTCCTTTAATTTTGTGTATATATCTTTTGCATGAGTTTGCCCATAGCTAAGTTATCAAACATTTTCAGAGCATATCAAGATCAAAAACGGAGAAATGTTTAATGTGTGGGTGGAAAATAATAAGCAACAAAAAGCTGTTTTCGATTGGATTATGCGAAAATTCAATAGTCGACCTAATGAAGAGAAGGTGAAAGAAATAAATTTAAAAATTAAAGGCCCGTCCACATACAACTTTGGCGTTGCGTTGGCGCTGGCGTCGCTTTGACAGCGGCGCGCGTAACGCCCGTGCTTGCTACAATGAACGCTTAGCACAGAATACTTTGGTCACTAAATTAACATACTAGCGGCTGATAAATCAAAATTTTTACATCAATAATTGCATTAAAAACTATATTTCTTGCCCGCATTTGATTAAAAATTAAAATTAAATCACATAATTTTGATTATTTAGAACAGCTGACGAACGACGCGCGCGAAAAGTTGAGAGTTGGCCATCTTTCTGCGTTGTGTTGGCGTTGGCGTTGCCCAACTTTGGTTATATGGAGACTTTCATATAAATACATGTATTCATAGTCAGCTGTCGAAGCGACGCCAACGCCAACGCAACGCCAAAGTTGTATGTAAACGGGCCTTAAGAGTTTCTGCTCACACGCAACCCAAAAATGGAAGAAAAATAATCGAAGTTTAGAAAATATGATGAAGTACGACAGTCGCTGGCTAGGAATGTATAATGTATTTACATTGTCCAATGTTTCACATAAAGGTCGACCTACAGTGAGTTATTCTGAAGGAAGTGAGTGGCAAAAGCGGAGATTAGCATCAGAAGTTTGCTCTCAGCAATCAGGTAACACATCTCTTCTGTTACATGCGGCATCAATTTCTACAGGTGCATCAAAGGACAATGACTTAAAATATATTTTGACTGAGGCAGTTAAATCTCCGACACGACCAAAAAAAATTAAAAAACTAATTGCTTCGAATAATGAACTTTTACCTCTCTCACCTGAAGAAGCTTTAGTATACTTGTTGGAAAATTACTTCACAAAGCAACAGTACAATAACACACGAGAACTAAACAAATCCCGAAATTGTGATATTTACCCTCCTTATTATAAAGTTATTGAGTGTAAATTACTGTGTCGGCCTGAAGGTATAATATATACAGAAACAATGGCGATGGTGCCTTTGCAAAATTTGGTAGAGCATACAGCAAAAAGAATATTATGTCTGCAAAAAGACATGCTGATGCAACTACCAAACATAAAAGATGATACGTTGATACAAACCCTGCAGGGAAAGCTACTAGTTGTGAACTAGAATTCTACCGGTTTGCGTTTCAACCCAACTAGTTCACGTTCTATCCTTTTTCAATGTTAGCGACTGGTATTTTTAACATTGCGATGTCCTACGAGATGTCAATTGTCAGGCTATGCATCAGCATCTATTAGTATAAATACTAGTAGCATCATACCAGTTTATGAGATAGTCTGCCAATTCATGCCCCGTGAAAAACTTAAGTGTGCCTTTTTGCTCGCGACGCTCCGGCAGTCACAATGGCCGACAGGGCAAAGCATTCGCGTGGTAAGTCTGAGGTCCCAGGTTCAAATCCTGGCGCAGGGAAAGTTTTTTTATTTTCTATTTTTTATTTTATTTTTATTTTTTATAAATTTATTTTTTTGTTTAGCCTGTTTATTGTAATTTTTAAATTTAATAAAAAAATATTTTTGTTTAATTTCTTTGTTTTTATAGCACAAGCATTTCTTCCTAGATGTTTTTTGCAATGCAATTAGATTTTCAAATTTGTTATTTATTTATAAATTGAATAAATTATTTTTACTTACATTTATTTAACTTTAAAAATCTTAACCACCTCCAAGCGGCCTCGAGCCTGCGATTTCAGAACCAGAGCCAGTAGTCTTCACGTGACGCCTCAGCCGACATTTGTAAGAAAAGCAGTTAATTGCGTTTAATTTTTGGCTTTGGCAATTCAAAGGCAGATGTCGCTGATCGCCTAAGTTCTTCGAAATTGGCGAACTGGTAGGCACATACTAGTTAATGAGTATAAGTATTTTTTCTAACTGGTTTGGCTTTTCACTGCAGGGTAAGCTACGGGTTTGATGGTTCAACCGGGCAGTCATTATTTAAACAAAAATTTCAGGAAGGCGTTCCAGAGTCGTATGATCAATCACTATTTGTCACCTCAGTCATACCGTTGAAGCTGATAATACTGCCAAATACAGTTATTTGGTTGAATCGGACCCCTCAGTCTATACGATTTTGCAGACCCAAAAAAATTGAGTTTGTTAAGGAAAGTAGAGAGCTTATTTTAGCGGAGAAAGCTCATTTAGACGAGGAAATATCTTTATTAACTCCTTTTCAATGGACACTAGAAGGTGAAAGAAAAATTAATGGGAATTTTGAGCTTAATCTAACACTTATTGATGGCAAAGTTTTAAACGTGTTAACAAATACAAAATCTTCGCAGTCGTGTCCAATTTGTGGTGCGAATCCAAAACAATTCATGTCTGTTAAAGACATTGATTCGTCAATATTTCAACCAAAAGAAACTTCTCTGAAGTATGGTATAAGTCTCCTGCATGCATGGATTAGGTGCTTGGAATTTATTTTACATCTTTCCTACCGTATGGACTTAAAAAAATGGCAGATAAGAAGTCAAGAGGATAAAGAAGTGTTAAAGCAAAAGAAATCTGAAATACAAGAAAAGTTCTGGAAACACATGGGCTTACGCGTCGATAAGCCGAAAGCGAACGGTAGCGGAAACACTAACGATGGCAACTCAGCTCGTCGAGCTATCTCTGATCCAGAAATGCTTGCAAAGATTACTTCTATCGACAAAACGTTTTTGAAAAATTTAAAAACTATTTTAATTTGTATATCTTGTGAATTCCAAATTGATGTGGAACTTTTTTTTTGCTTTTGTAAGAGAACATTCGATATATATATGGAAAAATACGACTGGTATCCTATGTCAGCCACGTTACATAAAATTTTGGTTCACTCCGCTCAAATTATGCAATCATCTAGTGTACCACTAGGCTGTCTAGGGGAAAATGCTTCAGAAAGCCGTAACAAATGCTATAAAAGAGATCGCGTGTCGCATGCCAGAAAAAATAGCAGGGAGAATAATATGAAAGATGTCTTTGATAGAGCTATGGATTCATCTGATCCCCTTTTATCTAGTATGCACTTGTCAAAGAGGATTTATTCAACAAAAAAACAAACATTTCCACCTGAAGTAGTTGCACTTTTGAAATCTCCTCCTAATGAGTTTGACGATGATAAGCCTACAACATCACGACAGGCATTAGAAGAATTCGATGAAATATGTTCCGACGATAATGAAGATATGGACGACAGTACTTGCTTCTCGATTGAACTAGAGGAAGAAGAAGAATCGTGGGATTAGATAAAGGTGAGACTCTACCTGACACACAAAAAACAACAATTTGCTATGCTTTTAGTAGGTACTCACTCAAAAATGGAACAACAAAAATAAACTAGACTAATACTTTTAAATATAATGTTAATCTTTTTGAATAAATTCTTTTTGAATGGCCTTAAGTGTTTAATTTTATGTAAAATACAACTAAATTAGCGATATCTCGAAAAAAACCGGATTCATGGAATGATTTTAAGTAGAAATATGTAGGTCAAAAAAGTTCTTAAATAATATACATACCTACTCGTAAGTATGATTTAAAAAAAGGCGTGGCAGTGGTTAAATCCCGCCCATTTTTTTGTCAGAGTTTTAGGGGGGTGCCAGATTAATGTGTGCAAATTTTCACGCTTCTATCTCCTTTGGTTGATTTTTGGCCGCAGAACATGGTCATTTAAACCATAGTGCACTGTATAGCTTGTTTCTCTCTAAGCATTGTCGCTTCAAGCTTCTATTGTGGGGGAAGGCAATAAAAGCTATGGTAGTGAAAGGCAATGCAAAACAATTCAATTCAAATCTGTGCAATGTGACGATTCTTTACTTACTGGAGAAAATAAAATAGCTAAGCTATTTTTTGACATGCATTTATGTTGTATATTTAATATTTTATTATATTTAAACACTAATATTCATAGTAGTATACTTTGTACCGAAACTGGTTTACAAATTTTACAGCTTTGAAAAATGCTTTCGCTGTTAATAGAATTGAGTCAAGTCACGTGAAGTGGGCGCCAAAATTTCCGCAAAATCACCGATTATATTAATATAATTTTTGCAAAGGTTATCCGTCACGTACTTAAACGCTAGATATGAATATATTTATCATATTCCGATTTTTGTTTATTTTTTAACTTAAGCACGTGATGGATCCCCTATCCAAAAATACATTTATTATTAAAACGGTGATTTAGCGCAAATTTCAGGCCCACTTCACTGGGTTTGACTCATTTGTAAATTTATTGCAACGGAATCATTCGACTACGAATAAAGAATATTCAATATTTATGCGTTATATACATATGTAGGTATGTACTTTTGTGTTTAAAAAACTTAGATTGTATATATCCATTTTCATAAAATGCGAATTATTTCTAAAAAGTATGTATTAACACAACGCCTCACAACTTCGTTCTACTCTGCTCACTTTTAACTCCAACTGAACCGGTTCTGCGCATTTCTTTTATGTTCATACACATCGGCCTGGTAAAAATCGCGATTGAAGTCCGTAATACATTTTCTCAAAAACGCGAAGATAGATTTTCTCCAAAGTCTCTGAAAATGTTACTAGTTCACAAAATTCTTAAATTATTAAATTTTTAATGTTTATTGTTAATTAGTTTTGAGTTTATGAAGGATTTTCTTTGGTAAAGTTTTGTCGTAAGCGTGATTTGTCCATTTGACAGCCACTTTGTATGAATTACGAAAAAATGTGATCAAAATTTCTACTAAATTAACGACACTTTTTACTCAATACCTCGGAAACTAAAGGAGTATCTAAAAATGGAGAACGCTATTTTTAAGATATTAATTAGTTTAATATGACCGCATCACTAACTAACTTTTTACTAAATTATCGATAAAATGTTAGTCTATATCTCGGAAACTAAAGGAGATATCTAAAAACTGATAACACCAATCGAAAGACCTTATTTCAAAATATAGAACTCCATCTAGAACTAAACATCGTCAAAATTGCGCTTACGACAAAAAATACAATCCGTTTTTCTGGAGAATGGCCTTGTTTTCGAATCGAATAGTAACCTATTGCACATTCGTTATCGAAAGTGAGACTCGAAAAAATGTTAGTTTTCCAATCACTTTCGAATTGCTAACCAAGCCCTACGTTTATTGGGAATAAAAGAAGAAATAGAAAAATTAATAGAGCAATATATCTCACCAAAGCCAACATAATAAATAATTGCATAATTTCAAACGAAGAGGCTCACAAAATAAAGGATATATTTTTTAAAGAAAACATGTTGTTTGATTCATTAGAAAAATCATTAAATTTCGCAAATATCCAAATCGCTGTGAAACAAAATCTACTTATCTTAGTATCATCAGCAATTCAGCTATGGAGAATTGTGCAGATTCTGTCATTGCATATTTCACGGGGAAATACTTTGTTACCAGCTTATGAGATGGTAACAAAATTTACCGGTTATAAGAGTACACAGAATGCGAAAAGGGTTTGAAAATTGACAGGAACTTTATTTACCGGTAACAAAATTTTTATTACCGAATAGACCTGTAAATGTAGAATTTCTGTCAGAATGCCATTAAGCATGTGTGTACATTAGACTGCATCACCAAAAAAAGTTGCGGTTTTTCCGCCGGGATTACAAAATCTATTATATTTTAAGACGTCCGCCAAAATATTTCGGAAAAATATTAAGATTTAAGTGAGCTGGACCGATTTGAAAATACCTCCAAAAATGGAATTTTTCATGAATAAGAATAGTTTCTTAGAGCACTTTTTGAAAAAATTCTCCTCAGATGACAAAACAGATTAAGCTTAAAAAATCTGCATAAAAATATTTAAAAATATTTTCAACGGAATCGTAAGAATGAGATTTTTGTTGCTGTTTTTTTTTACTTTTTTCAAAGATTGACTTACAAAAAACTTGAATAACTGTGCCAAAAATTTTTTTTATTTAGACTTATGGAATCTCGATAGAAAGGTATTTTCATACTGTTTTTATTTCTGTCCAAAAAAAAGTCATTCGTGTCCCTTTTTTTTTTTCAAATACCAACACATCTTAATTCAACCTTGAATGACGTTCGTTCATCCTACCTTTCTCTTTCATCCTTTTAATGAGTTTATTAGCAAAGAAATAAAAAGGGTGAGAAAGTACCTTTCGGAAGAGTTTAGGTTCAGTTATTCAAGTTTTTCCTTTACCAATCTTTGAAAAAAGTTAAAAAACAGTATTAAAAATCTCATTATTACGATTCCGTTGATTTTTTTTTTTT